TGTGTGTGTGTGTGTTTTGTGTTTATGTGTATCCATTTTCTTCATTTTTATCCCCCATGGTTTCACATTCAGTAACATCACACCTGCTGGTTCGTCCTTAAAAGTGGTCAATGAGCACAGAAACACAGTTGGCTCCCACCAGGTAGTTGGGGTCCCCGGGGAGATTCTTGTTCTGCCAGCTTTTTGGGTCACCTGCAGACAGACAGATGCGGGGGGGGGACAGTGAGTGATAACAGCTGCTTTTATAATCTAAAATTCCAGCATAAGCATCGTTCACGCCGCAAAATCTATTGTACAACAAATGTATGAACTACTAGCCTCGTTTTAAACCAGCTCTTGGTTGTCTGAAAGCCATGTTAAGTAATATCACATGGTTTTGTGGCCTATATCCAAGCACAGCAACACAAGAGACTAGTAAAAGCAATTTCATATTTTTATTGAATGTCCCCAGCCTCTTGTTGACTGCAAATTAAACCTCAGTCACTGTGAGGTCTGAGTGTAATTGAAATTATAAACATATAGGACTGTGCCAAGAGGAAAGTTCCAGTAATCAATCAGGGTAAGCAGAGGCAGCTCGGCAGAGGTCCATCAATACACTACAGACTAACTATACATGTGACAATAGGAATACAGCCTCTTCCTGACATCAACTGTCACTCTTTAAACTGTCGGTTTGTGCGAAAATCTGGGTAATATGGAAAAGATAAATGTCAAAATAACCAGAGGATCGTCTTCTGTTCAGTTCGCCAAAATAAAAGGAATCCTTCATTTCCAGTTCTAAAGATCAATGTGAACAAGAACCTCTTCGACAAACATCATTTGGCTGCGTGGGTCCTATGTTTGAGCAAGCTTTGATGCTAGCTCGATGTAAGCCTGAAACAACCCCCTGCCAGCCAGCCAAGAAGGCATTTTGCTGATCTTTAGAACTTCAAATAAGAAGTGCATCCGAGTTATGAGTGTGTGGCTTTACGCTCTTTTCTTTGATGTCTGCCTGCGAGACATCACCTTATAAGAACAAGTTCTTCAGGTCTGGATAGCACAGAGGGTTTGTCAAGTTGTCGGA